GGGGCAGGGATCATCATGTCTGGGTTTGTACAGCACCTAGCACAATAGGGTTCTGGTCTGTGACTAGGGCTCAGAGGTGCTACAGCAACACAAATAATAATTAATGCCAATACCTAAAGGTAGTGGGAAAGGTGCTTCTCTCCTGGCTGTCACACAAAATTACCAGTCTACCAAAAGCACAGTGATAGCTCTGGCTTTGTTAATGGAAGTGTTGGGTTTTGTTTCTGATGATGGTTAAAGGCACTGTTGCCATAGGAAAGCACCTTCAAAAAGGTGGATCTTACATTTCACCTAAACAGGCAATTTTGGGCTTAGTAAACCATGGGAAAATTGTTAAAATGTCATAGACAAGCCCCTCCCTGTGGTTTCTTCTTACAATAGGCAGGGCTCTGCTGCTAATAATATTGTGGTCTGAGACCTGGTCAAATAGTAGCCATTGCTGTATAGATGACAGCTGAAACCATAGCAAGAGATGAGATCATATGCAGGGGCTTTATCTATACAAGACTTGAGCAATTCTCCCACTGCTGGTGCAGAATCAGCACTAGCACTGACTGGGTCAGGTGTTCTAACTACTGGTCTGAGCAGGAAATATAGGAGAGGAGCTAGGGAACACTGGTGTAACTCTGGAAAGATATGTTAAAGGAGCAGTTAGAAAGCAATGAGAATCTTACAGCAATAAGGTGACACAAAAGAATGTAGGTTTCATCTTCTAAATAGTTGTCACTCTGCTTAAAGCATGTTTCCCTCCTATGTTTCTCCAAAACTCCAGCCCCTCCCACCCAGCTGCATTAATAGCACTGATTCTGTTAAGGAAATGAAGTTATATGGTGTCTGTTTCTACTGAGAATCATTCTCCTTGTTTTTTCAGTAATGCCCCACTGGGAATGAGTCCAAGTTCTATGCAAAATGCAGTTGCACTGGCATTGATTTACTGGTGTTAAATATATTTTTGATCTGTAGCTGGGCTGTACACAATGGATAACCTCTGTCAACTGCTGATTAACAGGACTATTAAAAGCAAATGGTTTACATTTACGACCTTTGATGCCAAAGCACTATACAATGAAGTATTGGGGTACAGATCAGAAGCCAGACAGGGCATTTCACATGACAGGGAGTAGGCAATTTTGCTAAGGAACGTGGTCCAGTCAGCTATTTTGATCATGTGTGATAGGAGAGAGAGCAAGTAGGAATTCAGTTAAAAAGGTACCCTTCTGAAAGCTTCCCCTACATAGTAAACTTTAAGATACTCAATTTATCAATATTGGAAGGCTTAAGGGACAAGTCAGTCCTTTGGGATTTAAGCATCTGGCTGTATGGGGGTTTAGGAACTTCCTCATGTGAGGCTTGTTTCTGGCTGATGTGCTTGAGTCTGCTAATGTTAACAGTTACTGTGTGAGTGTGACAGTTAACTGTGAAATATTTCTCAAAGATTTGGGAAGAGGGAACAGATCAAATCTCTTTATAGAAAGGCTAGATTGTTCCTTGGAATATTTTCCTAGCTGCAACGGGCTAACTCATCATTAGAGCTGTTCAGAAAATTTCCAACAAACCAAATGCTGATTCGTTGCAGTGAAATGTTTTGCTGAATCTATTAAATATTCACAAAAACTTTTGCCTCAACGCAGGCAGGTTTTTACTGGACACGTGCCAGCATTGTAGGGTTCACAGCTTTGGCAGGGAGGCCACCAGTCCCCGGAATCCTGGCAGGCATCCCATGCCACACAAGGGAAGGTGCTGGCCCTAGGATCCTGGGCTGGAGGCAGGGCTCTGGTAGGTAGCAGCCTGGGAAGCCTGGCTGGAGATGTCTCTGGGATGCTAGGATCCAGGTCTGGGAGCCTGCTAATCCCTTCAGAGCCCCAGCCAGAACTGGGAGCCTAACAGCCCCAAGAGGCCAGGCTCCAGCTGGGGTTCCCAGCAGTGCTGCAGAGCTGTTAAGTGACATTGACAGGAATGTTACTTTTGCATTTCATTTGAGGACCATTTCATTTATGAAACAACATTTTCAGGGATGTGTGATTCATCAAGAAATTTAAGTACATTTGCTTTAATTCTAAGTTAGAACGAAAGCAATTCGTAAATACTGGAATCCCTGCGTTTTGCCCATCTCCACTCATTAGATAAAATTACCGCATCATGATCACCAAGATTTTCATAGCTTGAGAGGAGTAACTGTTAACTTGGCCTCTCGCGTGCTCTGCTAGTTGGTGGTTTTAAAGCAGTACACAGGCTGTTACAAGTCACTCTGATTTGCCACGGTATGGTGGATTTGTTTTTTAGTTGGACTGCAGAAGTTGGGAGGGCATTTTCCACCCTAATATCATATTAAGGTGACTTTGGCTTTTAACTTCATGTTGGTGAACTTTTTTTTGAAAAACATACACTAATCTATTTAGATATGAAACCAGCTTCTATGATTCCACTGGAACAACTTACCAAGGGTTATGGTGGATTCTGTATCACTGGCAATTTTTAAATCAAGAGTGGATTGAATATTTTTCTAAAGATTCGCTCTAGGAATTACTTTGGGGAAGTTCTATGGTTTGTGCTACTTAGGAGGTCAGATTAGATTATCACAATGGTCCTTCTGGTCAGGGCCGGCTTTAGGTCGATTCAACCAATTCCCCTGAATCGGGCCCCGCCCTTAAGAGGGCCCCGTGCCCAAGCCCCGGTACAGTGTACCGGCAAAAGCCGGTGCGCCATACCGGGGTGGCCTAGCTTCCCCAGGGGGCAATTTAAAGGGCCTGGGGCTCCCAGCAGGGGCTGGAGCCCCAGGCCCTTTAAATTGCCACCAGAGCCCCACTGTTGGAGCCATGGGGTAGAGCTGTGGGGCTCTGGGGGCTATTTAAAAAGTCCGGGGCTCCCGTTGCTTTTACCGCCCCGGCCCTTTAAATAGCCGCTGGAGCCCCGCCACTTCCCCAGAGCTCTCACGGCTATTTAAAGGGCCGGGGCGGTAGAAGCAGGGGGGCCCCGGGCCCTTTAAACAGTCCCCAGAGCCCTGGGGTAGTGGGGGGCTCCGGGGCTATTTAAAGGGCCGGGGCTCCAGCTGCCTCTGCTGTCCCGGTCTTTTAAATAGCTGCTGGAGCCCTGCTGCTTCCCCAGGGCTCCGGTGGCTATTTACAGGGCCAGGGCGGTGGAAGCTGGGGAGCCCCAGGCCGTTTAAATAGTCCCCCGAACCCTGGGCTGCTGCTGCTACTACCCCGGTGGGGGGGGGAGGAGGAGGGTGCACTTACCATACAGGGTGGGCTGTACCCCCTGTATCCACCCCCTGCCCGCAGCCAGCCCCTGCTGCACCTCCTGCCCGCACCCCCTGCCCTGCCTGCAGCCAGCCCCA